CTTCAATGTACATTTTTCTGTGATCCTTGTATCTACTGTGTCGAACATTGCTCAGAGGAAATGTATGAAAACAACTGTTTATAGAGGAAGTTGAAAATGCACGTAAGGGTACATTCCAGGTCTGGAGCACTTTTAATAAAATATATACGAAATCTCAAGCTTGGAAAAGTACTCTGTCCTAGCCAGTTTCCTAAATGTCACTTCTACATTGGCTAAGGCACTGGTCTGCAACCTTAAACACTCAAAGAGCCATTTGGACCAGTGGTGGGTTTCAAAAATTTTTACACATGGTTCTGTGGGTGTGGCTTGGTGGGCATGGCATGGCTTGGTGGGCGTGGCTTGGTGGGCGTGGCAGGGGAAGGATACTGTAAAATCTCCATTTCCTCCCCACTCCAGGGGAAGGTTATTGCAAAATCCCCATTCCCTCCTGATCAGCTGGGACTTGGGTGGCAGAGAATAGACGGGGGCAGGGCCAGTCAGAATTTTTACCGGTTCTCCGAACTACTCAAAATTTCCACTACTGGTTCTCCAGAACTGGTCAGAACCTGCTGAAACCCACCACTGATTTGGCCCCATTTCCCACAGAAAAAAAACACACCATGAGCCACAAAATCCTTCCCGTGTCTGACTATGTGGCCACAAAACTAGCATATGTAGTTGAATTAAATGTTCTTTTTTCTTCTGAAACTTTTCTTTTCTTGGATTTATCCATAGTTAGCCTACCAGGGGTTGAAAAGCTCAATAAATCAGGTGCTGACAGGTGTCGCACATTGGCAGTTGTGATGCATATTTTGAGTGACAGGGAGCCATAGCAGAGGGGTGAAAGAGCCACATGTGGCTCCAGAGCTGCAGGTTGCTGACCCCTGGGCTAAGGGGAAAGAATCTTAGACTTCCAGTGGAAGAAATAATAGACTGAAGACAAAAAGCAAGCTGGTGACTGCAATAAAGAGTATTGCCAGTGAGTAGCCTGGTTCTTCAGAATCTCTTTGGACAAGGAGAGGATAGGAGATTGTCTACATGTGCTTAGAACAGTCACTCCCAATGCGAAGACCACAAGACAGCAATCTCTGATTTTATTTTATTTATTTATTTTATTTTTAAATTTATATACCGCCCTTCTCCCGAGGACTCAGGGCGGTGAACATCCAAAGGTAAAAACACAAAATACAAAATTTAAAAGCAATTTAAAATAAATTAAATATTTTGGCCGAACGGTTTAAATACCCCATTAAAATTCAGATTAAAATTAAACAATTTAAAAATTTAAAAATTAGGTCAGCCCGGTTTTGATGGGTTTTGAGCACTGGGGCATGATGGGAATAACCATCTTCCCAATTATGGTTGATGCTTTTTAAAAGTCACTAAATTTGCAAACTTTTTTTTTCTAATCCTGTTTGATAATTGCTTGCTAACTATTTTTTAATCTATTAAAAACCTTTGAATTAACAAATCTCAAAAATGCAGGTGAGTTTGACTTCAATCTTTGGTAAACATTAGGAAATGAATTATCTCTGGATGCCAATGAAAAATATGAGAATGTAAATGTTTTCTGCTCTAGAACGGAGATTGTGCAATCTATGAGTGTATTTGGAACATTTTTTTTGTTCGGAAATCATACTGCTAAATTCAATGGAAAAGCGCAAACTTGGAAGTTTTTTTTTTTTTAAATGTCATGTATCAATAGCCTCTCCCAGTGACAAAAGTTCATTAAAAAAAAAAACCCAGTCCTTCTTCTATGTTGATATCACCATTTCTGTCAGGCTCCACATCAAGACTCTGAAAAATAATTAGACATCAGCCTTCCTCTTTTTTTCTTTTGAAAATTTAGCCAAGGCAAACAAGGGCATGTTGAATGGGATTCTTGTTCCTCTCCCTCCTTTTTCCTATCCAAATTTCACCTTGGGTCTAGGTGGTGGCTTCCCTTTTCCTGACCATATTTAGCAATAATCTGCATATGAAATACAAAGCAGAGAAAGAGTTTCCAGGACCAATGGATTAAACTTCCTTTTTTCTACCCTGACAGAAGAAAACAAGACAAAAATAAAATGATGTGCTACTAAATTACTGAATGTGCTTGCAAAGAATATTTGTTCTCATGTAGCAGAGACCAATCAAATAAACCAATGTGAGTGCGATTTAAAATGTCCTAATAACCACTGTGAGTTAAATTTGCAGAACTCTTATTGGAAATGAACCACCTCATTTTCTCTAATGGAAGAACTAATCCTGACCCCTGCTAAACATTAATTTCCCTAAACTAACTAAGGTCCATTCTGAATATCAGTATTTAGCTAAAGCAAAGCACAACCTTCAAAGAGAGATCTGACATTTACATTTGTGTGATAAGCTTCTGTGATACCTTTATTCTCCATTAGAGTGAACGCCTCATAAATGGTACAATTTATACATCAAATAAATACATTTATTTGCAGTTACAATAGCTGTTTCTCATTAATAGACAAATATTTGCTAAGCATTCATGATTTAACTGTAGTATTATCCTCCACCGCCACTCTGACGCCTTGCTACTTCTGCTTCTTTAGTAAACCATTTTGTGGCTTTTATCTCTGACTTCAGCCACCCCGTTTCTGAGAACTAAACAGAAACTGTGCACAACCTAGAGTAAGATTTATGGACAGCTTCTGATAAAGCCTCCATTTCTTTCAAAATCTTCTACCATCTTAATCTCCCTTCAAGTGGGAGGAAGATATATGTAGATAAGGATATTACAACAGGTGTCCTGGCATAAATTTTAGGTTTTATGCTCTCATTGTCATTGCATATGTATGCTGTCGCAACAAAATAGTTGCCCAATTTGGACCACTTTCAGGATATACATGGAAATGACGCTAAGAAATTACTCATGCAGTCCTCCATGTTGTGAGTTTTCTGGGACCCAAGCACTTCACACAGAGGATTTGTTTTCCTTGAAAGAAATCGTGGAAGATTAAAGCAATTTACTGGAGCAAATGGGAGCAGATACCAGCTCAAACACACAGCAACTCACCCAACTCTCACCTTTTTATAGACTGTCTCCGCTAAAGCTAAAGCCTGCTTGCTTTTAAAGCAAACCTCTGCATAAGCACACCTGGCAGGAAGAAAAACAGATCCACCTTTCTTCTTCCACAGCTACAGGCAGTCATTCTCATAACACAAAGTACTTGATCATTCACTAAATGTATTGCTGTAATTCCATTTGGTTATCTATTTGTTCTCTTCCCCGGCTTTTCCCCCATTCAAAAGGGCTGTATTGAGTTAAAAGCAGGGGTGAAATTCAGCAGGTTTTGACAGGTTCTGGAGAACTGGTAGTGGAAATTTTGAGTAGTTCAGAGAACCAACAAATATCACCTCTGGCTGGCCCCAGAGTGGGGTGGGAATGGAAATTTTGCAATATCCTTCCCCCAGGAGTGAGGAGGGAATGGGAATTTTGCAGTATCCTTCCCCTGGAAAGGGGTGGGAATGTAAATTTTGCAGTATCCTTCCCCTGCCACGCCCATCAAGCCACACCATGACCACCAAGCCACGCCCACAGAACCGGTAGTAAAAAAAAATTGAATTTCACCACTGGTTAAAAGCATCCATAAGATTATTTTGCTCAACCTCTCGTTTTGACTGATTCATTGACTGACTATGTGCCATCAAGCTTTTGACTCTTAGCAACCACATAGGTTTTCTCCATGACAATCTGCCCCAATTAGGTCTTTCAGATCTTCCAAGGGTGCACTCATTGCCACTGTAACAAAGCCCATCCGTCATGCAGCTGATCATCCTCTTCTTCTCCTTCCTTCCACCTTAACCAGGATTAAGGATGTTTTTAGGGAGTTAGATGTTTGCATAATGAGTCCAAAGTAAAATAATGTCAGCCTGGTGCTATGTGTCTTGAGTGAGAACTCTAGATTGATTCGTTCAATGATCCATTCTTTCATTGTCCGTGATATTGTGATGGATTTTTTCCAATGCCAGAGTTCAAAAACATCAATATGCTTTCTGTCTTGCTTCTCCAAAGTTCAACTTTCACTTCCACAGAGCGTCACAGGGAATGCTCTTGCTTGCACTATTCTGATTTTTAACCACTCACTTTATTAGGATATGATGACAGCAATTCCCAAATTAAGTTTTTAATTCAAGTGAATTTGAAACAGCTCTGTGGAAACGGGTCTGTCATTCCCACAATGTTAATTTTTAAAAATTAAGTGGATAAGGGCATAGAATTTAGTAGAATAATTCAAGTGACAGACTAGCACTTGAAAACCTTGGATTCAAATCCCTACTCATTCCCAAACTTCATTCTCCAGAAGAAGATATCTATTCAGAGAAGATGGCTCAGCAGGCATCATGATATGTTCTAAAAATGGTAACAATAGGAAAGAATAATCAGTTTAGCTTGCCTTGCATCTAAGCCAGAAAAGAAATCTGGAACTCCTTTTAAATTCTCAGGAATAGCAGCATCTGCATGGATTTGCATCACAGCTTCTGCTTTTAACAATGAAAAGCACATAAACAGACTTTTCAATAACATCCATATGGTGTCATTTATCTGAGAAATAGCTGAAACAGAAGCATAACCAGAAAAAATTCTCATTATAAAAGTTTCTAGTTAATGCAAATTCCGTTTCTGGGATCAACATCATCAATCTACTTCAGGCCTTGTACTGTTACTCTTCTTTTCCAAACTTATCTTCTGACTACCCACTTGAAGTTGAAGTTTGCCCTGGTACCTGGACTTCTCATTCATTGACTCAAATTTCTTTCCTTGTGAGCACTTTATATTACTTGTTCTGTTAATGAGAGTTTGTGGGTTTCGTTCTGGAGTAATCTAACAATTTTGTCCCCTGAAACTTTCATGACAGTCTAGACCTGACTGTTTTTCAATGAAGATGAATGAAAGAATCTACATGTATCTGGGATTTTTTTTTTTTTACCATACATGCCATTTGGGGTCTTACTCTTATTATTGCAGTGTGTTTTATAGTGGGAATAAAAAAGTTTCTCTCTTTCAGATTCTTCTGACTTAAATGATGCTGAGGTGACTGAGCTAGAAATAATGAAGAAGCATCAGAAAGACTTTATGGAAGACATTCAGGTAGGAATCACTTTAGTTCACCAACTAGATGGGTTGAGTTGAGTTTACTTTATTGATTAGCTCATGGGCCATATTAAAGTGCAGAGTTCCAGACACAAATTGTTACTAAAATCTGATAAAAACAATTTAAAATGGAATTGGATAAAATACAATTTAAAATGAATTTGGAATAAAATACAGTTTAAAATGAAATTGGAATAAGATACAGTTTAAAATGAAATTGGAAACTAGATGGGGTAGACTACAATTTGCAAAATCGCATTCCACATGCCTATTGACTGTGGAGTAGAAATTGTAGGAGGTCTAGTCAAGAGCATTTGGATTACCCCAGGTTGGGGATGACTGAGAGAAAGCGAAGGATTATCTGAATCAATAATGCAGCTAGGTAATTTTTGACCCTGGATTTAATAGGGTTATAGGTAATAGAAAAAGTCTTATAAAGTCAAGAGTATTTTCTTGTGAGATAGAACTGTATATTTGGATAATGACTATGCTTTTGGGAAAAGACTCCTGACATTATTACTAGAAGTTTGTTGCATGACCATCTCTACTTGGCCTGTGACTTATTGATCTCAAGAATCTCTACCTTTCCACATATATTTTTCATCTGTATCATGGACATAATAACAATATATCTTGACAGATATTATAAGGATAAATAAATGTGTGTATTGCATCAAAGTGAAATGACTGAAAAATGCAAGTACTGTATTCTTTTGGCGTATAAGATGCACCGGAGTATGCAGACCTTAGTTTTTGGGGAGGAAAATAAGAGAAAAAAATTCTGCCTATCAGGTATTCATCTGGCTAGCATCCTTAGCCTGGTCAGCTTAAGCACATTAGTTCTCTCTCTGGTTTTGAGGTTGGGGCTGGTTGGGGCTAAAAACAGCTTCTAAAGCACAGCTGATCGTGGGAGGGAGCAGCAATTAGAAAAGCAGGCAAAGCACGGAAGATCCCTTTGCTCGTGTTGGGGCTGAAAAACAGCTTCAAAAGCACAGCTGATTGCCAGAGGGAGCTCCAGTGACTAAAACAGGTGAAGCACGGAAGGGGTAAGAGAAGGCAGCAGCTGTTCTGGGTAGCCATTTTGGGCACTGTACATCACATTTTCAGCCTCCAAACATCTCGCGTTTTTGGGCAGTAATTGGCAGCAATGTGCTTTGACGATCCCCGCAGCCTTGAAGGGCTCTCAAACAGAGCGTTTGGAAGCTGAAAATATGACATGCAGAGCCCCATTGTCGGTGGCAGTCTCTGCAGCCAGGAAGAGGTTGTGCAGAGGCTGAAGGGTGAGGACCGGCGGGTGGGTGGGGTTACATTCAGAGTATAAGACGCACCACATTTTCAGCCTCTTTTAGGAGGGAAAAAAGTGTGTCTTATACTCCGAAAAATATAGTATCTGTTTACCTGGCATGTAATTATTGGTCTTTTTTTTTGACCACCTTATCTTCTCTACAGAATACTTGGAAAACATTCAGTGTGGTCACTGACTTCTCCCTATATTCATTCTCATTGTTTTTCTTGCTTCCAGAAAATAAATCAAGAGATTGCTGAAATATTTCTGGAGATTGATCATTTCCAGCAAGCACAATCATGGTGAGGTGCCAGCCACATACATACATACATGCATACATACAGTAAATATACAGTATATAAAACAAAATGAGGAAATGTTGGATGTTCCACATAGAAGTTCTCTTTGTATATAGAAGGGGAAAAGGTTTTTTTTTTTTTTCATGCTACCCGTAAATACAAGGGATCTTGCAAATAATTTATACAAAAAGGGTATTTCATGTTGCAGCTAACAGCCTTTACTACTTCTTCTTCTTGTGCCATGTCCATCATTGGACACTGGCGATCATGTTGGCAATCCTATTTTTGTCAACAGCTGTATGAAAAAGTGCTGTTGAGTTTTGTTCAAACCATATAAATCAAAATAAATAAATAAAAATAAATAAACCAGTCCCTTAGGTTTTCAAGCCATGATGTTTTCCTTTTTCCTGGGCCTCATTTGTCTTCAATTTTTCCCTGGAGGATTAAGTGAAGGATGCTGTATTTTTCTGGGTGTCACCTCACATGTCCAAAATACTCTGACTTTTGCTTTTTAATGGCTTTGATTATTTCCCTTTGCTTTCCCAGGTGGCTTATCACCTCCTCATTTGTGATTTTATTAACCCAGTTTATACGTAACAGCCATCTTAAATCCACATTTCAAATGTGGAAACATTTACAACAGCTTTTACTATGTTAGTTAAATTAGTGAAGAATTGAGCTTAACCATGATCCAGAATACTGATTGGGGAATCTGGGAGTTGAAGTCCATATATTTTAAAAGTTGCCAAAGTTTTAAAAACACTGAATTTTAAGCAACATACGCTAAGGGAAAAGCTGCAGCAGCTGAGACTTAAGAGCACTCAGAGTTATACAGCTTGCTTTGCATCCTAATGTCTGTTTGATTAATCTGTTAGTCTGAAATGAGAATTGCCATTCTGTCATTTAACTCTGCCTACAATTTGTAACAGCAGTTTTTGGATTTATTTATTTTAAAAAAACTAGTTACAGGCTGCCTGTATCAGGTATTCAGGACCTGGGAGAGCTCCATGGGGGGATTAGAAACTGATCCAAAAAAACAGCTGGATTTTATATGCACAAGGAACACAAGCAATCTAATGTTTTTTTCAAGCCAGACTAGTCAAAAATGCAAAATGTTTCTTCTTTAAATTCTACATTTAAATTGCTATTTTGCTTTGCTTATTTGGTTAGGATAGGCATATCTTTATGAACAATTATATGCCATCAACTTGACAAATCAATCATACAGCATTTCCTAGTTTCCTTGAAAACATTACTAAGCCAAAATTGCAAAAATACTTAGCCAAACAAGTGCTTAAAGTGATCTTCTAAACAATATATGTAATAGAAACTTTGATTTGAAAGATAAGATTACAGAGACCAAGAGTAGTATATGTCTTATTTATACTATACTATAGAAGTAGTAGTATGTAGTAGAATAGAAATATTTATTTATATACCAGCTTTATTATTTTTTATAAATAACTCAAAGTGGCAAATATATCCAACATACCTTCTTCCTTCTATTTTCCTTACAAACAACAATCCTGTGAGGTGAGTTGGGCTGAGAGAGAGTAACTGCCCAAGATCACCCAGCTGGCTTTCATGGCTAAGATGGGACTAGAACTCACAGTCTCTGGCTTTCTACCCTGAGGCCTTAAGCACTAGACCAAACTGACTCTGGTTCTATTGCTTATAATATTACTTATAATTAATTAACCTTTTGCATGAAAAGCTCCATAAAATGGGCACATAGAGACACCAGGGGAGATCTGCTCTGCTTCATACTGTTCCTTTTATTTCATAAATTAGTAATGTTTAATTTGTACCTATATTTTGTCTAATATAAAACTGAGATTTAATGTGCCTAAAATTAAGTAAATCAGTTGTATAAACTGAACTTGAATGCATCCAATGAGGGAAGTTTGGTGTATATTTTGGGGACTTAGCAAAAAAACAGCTAGAAAAAAGAGAAAGTGGCTTTCCTTTGTTTTTCCCTGTGCTCTGATCCTATCTTTATATTTGTAGCAAACTTATTCAAAGGGATAAGAACTTGAGCGTTGGACGGAAGAAATTCAATATGGATCCTGTTAAGGTAGGAACAAGTCTTTCAGATTTAATTTAAGATTGAGGTCCTTGACAATCTCAGCTTTCATGTTTCAAACAGTTGATTGACGGACGGACGGACGGACGGACGGAAGGAAGGAAGGAAGGAAGGAAGGAAGGAAGGAAGGAAGGTGTTGTGACCCAGGCCATGTAGCAGATATTAAATGCAAAACAGTTCCAAAAAACAAACAGATTTTATTAAAACAGCTGAGAATTAACTCATTTTCAGCGTATTCTAAATTAAATGAAAGCAAAGTCCTCAAAACACCAGTCTTTAGTTATCTCTGACCTTGGGGTAATTAGGCAAACTGCCAAAGGCTTTTCTTGGCAACAGTTCAGGAACAGAAGAAATAACTACAGCCAAACAAGAAGCAATTCTCTCAACAGTTGTTTTCTGGCAAAGAGGCCAAGAGCCATTGCTGGTCTTTTCAGTCTTATGGGAGGGGCCAATCATCTCTTGGCCCTATTCCTAAGTCGTCCTCTCTGCTTTAGCTGCTCCTGGCTTCTGGCAGCTCTTCTCATACGTGCACTAGGAACAGGCTCCTCCTGTTCCTCTGCCTCTCTACTGTCAGCCTCTGGAGGCTCCAAAATCCGCACATCACTCCCCGATGACCCTGGCCCCATCTCTGCCTCTGACGCACAGCCCTCCAGGACTGGCCCCTGTTCTTCCTCAGCCTCATTGCTGTCCGACTCTGCTGCCAGCTCCGCAGGCTGCTGACGAACTACATCGGAAGGAAAGGAAGGAAGGAATTACTTTTATGCCCACCATGTCTCAAAGCCAATGTGCATCTTAGGAACCAGCTCAAATAGCAGCTGAAACAAAGGTGTTGGTACTTGGGCTGGATGGTTAAGAGGGAGAGAGAAAGTAGTTCTCTTTCTCTCTGCCATTTCAGGACATAACCCCCACCGAGTTATCTATTGTTTGCCCTGCTTTTGAATATGGCTTTAATGGTCTTCGAGAAAAGCACTAAAGCTTTTGTTCCATTTGAGAGTGGATTTAGTGCATTAAACCCATATCAAAATAATCCCCATTGTCAGATAATAGTTTGGCTCCTGTTGAACTCAGGTATGCGAAATATTTGCTCAAAGTCAGAGTGAATTTTGACTAAAGATGACTAAATCTGAGAGACCAGCCATTGGTAAAAATTCAACTCCTCCCAATCCCTATCCCCCAACAAAGAGTGTAATTGATAGCTGTTATCAGTCAGATGATGATAAGAGGAAGGAAAATTACAACAAAGGTTGTAAGTTTTGAGGCAGAAGAAACAGAAGGAAATGCAGAGAAGAAGTAAAGAAACTCTGCGCAACCCAGTTCAACAATATCTTCTTCTTGGATTGATCGGCAGCCCCGGCTCTCATTCTATGAAGATGGCTTCAAGACCCCCCCAAAAAGGTGTAATTTGTTTACTGGGACCAGTTCATCACGTTGTATTACTGGCTGGCCTAATGACAATAGTAAAGCAATACTTGCTGTGTAAGAATCCACTTTCTACAAAAACCGTCTGCTCTCTGACCGGACCGGGTTTTCTTTTTCTTTTTCTTTTTAGATTTTAATGTATTTATGTTCAAATCGATTAAAATTGGTCAGAAGGAAAAAAAAAAAGAGGAAGGAAAATTTCTTCCTTTGGAAGAAATTCTCCAAAGTCCTTTCTTAATATGCCCCATGGGTAATGAATAAGGATGACACCATTTGGTAGCATTGTGCCAATAGAAGAATAGAGAACTGATGGATGCAGCAACTTTAACATCAATAAAGTTTTTGACTTTTTGGCTCAAAGATTGATGGATAGCACTTTAACTCAGCCTTGGAGAAAGGCTCTTAGTTGCTTTCTTTTAAAAAAATAAACCACACACCCATTATTATCTAAGCCAAATTTTTATAATTATGTACAATATACATAGATTGGGTGTATATTGGATGAGAAGTGAAACGTCTTCAAAGAAAAACCAGAAAGTCCAGTTGCCTCTTGAAAAAAAACACCATGACCTGAATGACTGAGAATTTCCATAGACCAGCAGGTTCTGGAGAACCGGTAGCAGAAATTTTGAGAAGTTTGGAGAACCAGCAAATACCACCTCTGGCTGGCCCCAGAGTGGGAATGGAGATTTTGCAATATCCTTCCCTCAAGAGTGGGGAGGGAATGGGGATTTTGCAATATCCTTCCCCTGGAGTGGGGTGGGAATGGAGATTTTGCAATATCCTTCCCCTGCCATGCCTACCAAGCCACGCCCACCAAGCCACACCATGCCCACCAAGCCACGCCCACAGAACTGGTAATAAAAAAAATTGGATTTCACCACAACCATAGACATTTATGCACAATATACTACATGAAAAACAGAATGGACAAGATGAGAGAACTTGAATGAAAGTTTTGAAAGCCAAGTAATGAGACCACTATGAAATTACAAGAAATGAAATAAGCCATATAATGAAAGGCAGGTCCAGCTCTGAGAAATCTAGATCCTCTTTCTAACAAATGATCAGAAAGCAACCCAGATCCTCTTTCTGATGAAAAATGAATATGTATACACAACATATTCTGCTCTTTTGTGGTCCGGGTCCATCCTTTTCAACATCCGCCTCCTTAAAACAAACAAATGAATGAAGAGTGCATTGGTATTTTCTCCAGTCGTCTTTCCCTTCTTTGGAATTGATAGCTTACACTTGAAATGGAAAATCAAAATTACTAATGAACAGTTATGTTAACCGCAGCTAATTTCATCTTGGAGCTTTTATACATGCCCATGTTTTGGTTTCACCATATTTCTTTCTATTTGTCACAACCAGGCTTGCCTACACAAAGATGGAACTGAGGTTGTCTTTATCCTTATCTTTCTTTTCTAGATGTAATTATCTCTGTGCATTCCACTAACTGTAACCCATTGTGAATTGCACTTCACACTGAACTATTTCTTTCTGATACTTTCAGGGTAATTACTTCCTCTTACTAACAACACTACAGTCAAAAGTGACCATTCAATCATTAAATGGTAGTTAGAATCTTAATAGAAAAGCAGCTGCCTACATTACTACAATGGGGTAAAGGTGTGCTGAATATGAACAAGGCCTTTAAGAAAAAACACGAAGGACAATTTGAATAGAATAGTATAGAATTCTTTATTGGCCAAGTGTGATTGGACACACAAGGAATTTGTATTTGTTGCATATGCTCTCAGTGTACATAAAAAGACAAGATACATTCATCAAGAATCATAAGGTACAACACTTAATGATAGTCATAGGATACAAATAAGCAATCAGGAAACAATCAATATCAATATAAATCGCAAGGATGCAAGCAACAAAGTTACAGTCATGCAGTCACAAAATGGGCGACAGGAACGATGAGAAGACCAATAGCAATAGTAATGCAGCCTAATGTGAATAGTTTGACAGTGTTGAGAGAATTATTTGTTTAGCAGAGTGATGGCATTCAGGAAAAAATTGTTCTTATGTCTAGTTGTCTTGGTGTACAATGCTCTATAGCTTTGTTTTGAGGGTAGGAGTTGAAACAATTTATGTCCAGGATGCGAGGAGCCTGTAAATATTTTCACAGCCCTCTTTTTGACTCATGCAGTATACAGGTCTTCAATGGAAGGCAGGTTGGTAGTAATTGTTTTTTCTGCAGTTTTAATTTGATAGGATGATTGATATCCATTGTGTTTTAAGATCACTTTATTAGTTGTGTTATTATTTCTGATCAATTTGTAGGTTATTATTAAAGAACCTACCCATGCAAAACTAGTTCAACTAGAAAATATATCCAGCCCTATTTACAACCCCTCTTCAAATATGAATGTGTGTGTAAACACTAAAATATCAACACTGAGAACCATTTCCCACTTACCTTCACATTGAAGAGTGCTACTGTAAACACAGCTGCAAGTTGAAGACAGTTGAACACGTTTAAAAATACAATAAGGAACTGGTGGAACAAAATATCTTCACTTAATTGATGCAATTAATTAAGGAAGTTACTTATGCATGAAAGAGAATTCTATGGTTATGATGTCATCACAGAGAAATCTCTTAAGAAATCTCAGTTCTGATTTCCAACAATCACAGGGCCTAAAGCAGAGCTCCGGAATCCAGCTATACTTTGCTTACTAGGAACATATGGCCCAACTGTTGTAGCTGAATTTTGAGAAAGAAAACTGTTGGAAATCTTAAAATACACAGAGAAGAAATTATTAACCTATTATCTCTTTCTTTAGGCAACTGAATGTTCCTGAGTCTTGAGATAATGGATAATTCATGGCTTAAAATAAATTCAAGTCATAGAACAAAGAACATAGAATAACAGGTTTGGACCTTGGAGGTCTTCTAGTCCAACCTCCTGTTCGATTAGGAGATCTTCTATCGGTCCAGGCAAATGGTTGTCCAATCTCTTTTTGAAAACTTTCAGTGATGGAGCATCCTCAACTTCTAGAACCCTAACTGCTCTTTTTTGTGACAGCCACTCAGTACTGGAAGATAGCTATCATGACCCTCCTAATCCTTCTCTTTGATAGGCACTTATCTTTGTTGCTGTTCTCTGCACTGTTTCTAGACTAGAGCCTCAACATCTTTTTTGTATTGTGGTGATCAGAACTGGAACTGGTACTATTTAACTAGAACCAGTTAAGCTAAGTTGTTCATATACCAATAACCATCAGTCATTGTTATAGTCCCTTATTTTACATGTTCTTGTTTATTTCTTGAAACCAACAGTCCATTCACAGTTAACTCATAGGACTCCTCTGTTTTCCCAAACAGGGTATTCAATATCTGGTTGAACACAAGATACTCTCCTTAGATGCACATGAAGTTGCTAAATTTCTTTACCAGGGAGAAGGACTCAATAAAACAGCCATAGGAGATTACCTGGGACAAAGGTAAGTGCATTGTCAGTGAATAAACACATCTATGTTTCACTTCTGGCCTTCAGGCCACAGAGGAAAATATGCTTGGTGGGTGGGGGAAAAAAACCATGTCTCTCATCTTGCTCCTGTTCTCCTGCCAGGGATCCACTGAATCTCCAAGTTCTCCAGGCTTTTGTAGAATGTCACCAGTTTGCCAATCTCAATCTTGTTCAAGCACTACGGTAAGTTCCAAAACATGCAAAGTAACTTAAAGATTGAGGCTAGGTGCTAGATACTAAACTAATCAAGAAGAAAAGCAGCCTAGAACTAAGGAGAAATTTTCCAACAGTGAGAACAATTAACGAGTTGAACAGCTTGTTTTCAGAAGTTGTGGGTGCTCCATCACTGGAGGCTTTGAAGAAGAGTCTGGACAACCCCTTGTTTGGAATAGTACAGGGTCTCCTGCTTGAGCAGGGGGTTGGACTAGAAGACCTTCAAGATCCCTTCTAACTCTGTTATTCTATGGCTCTCTTTTGAGCTTGATGCTCATTTTTCTTCTCTAGAGGGGAACCAACTGAGATGCTGCCAATGTGAATGAAATGGAGACATTCTCTCATGCACTTACGTGGTTTTTGTTCCACTTCTATGCATATATATGTAGATAAATTCCAGCCTTGCTATGCAAAACCAGTAAGGATTCAAGACTCTGCCATTGTGAAAAATGATTCTAAATTTGTGGCATGGAAGAGAAATCCATCCAATAGTTTAGCACTTGGCTGTGTTCACACAAGATGGTTACTGAGCTTGTATCATAACTTGAACCAGAAGCTATCCAAATGGCTCAAGTACACAAAATAAGTAACTAAGCCATGAAACCTAACCCAGTTTTTAGTCTGTTGTGGAAATGTAGCTTCTAGTTTCATAACTGAACTGGTTATACATCTTAGATCAGTGTTTCTCAACCTTGGTAGCTTGAAGATGGGTGGACTTCAACTCCCAGAATCCCCCAGCCAGTGCTGCTTCTGGGATTCTGGGAGTTGAAGTCCACCCATCTTCAAGCTTCCAAGGTTGAGAAACACTGTCTTAGATGAACACAGCTGCTTTGTATGAAGAAAATCCTAGGTCACATGTGTGAAGTCGCAATTCTAACTCGCACTTCAGTTTGTTGCAAAAAAGAAAGGATTGTACTCTTCCTTTCAACCAACTCAAAATATCTATGCAATTAATAAATCATCAGATGAAAATCATTACCAGAAATAGTAGAATTGTTAATTTAATTATTAATTAGAATTTTAAGACCACCTAACTCCTCAGTGACTCTGGGTAATTTATATGTAACAGAGACATATAAAATAAAAGACAAAAAAATAAATGCATATAAAAGAGGAAATGTCCTCACCAGAAAAACAACACTGGGTTCCAACAACTGACCTTTACCAAGGCTTAGGAGACTAACCATGCTTTCAGTAATGTCTGAAACATCATAAGGGTAAAATTTCTATTTTCTATGACATTTTCTGACAGAAGATTCTGAATATATGGTTTTCTTTACAGGCAGTTTTTGTGGAGCTTCCGTTTGCCTGGAGAAGCCCAGAAGATTGACCGTATGATGGAAGCTTTTGCCAATTGGTATTGTCAGTGTAACCCAGGCATTTTTCAGTCAACAGGTGAATGGATGGATGGAGATATTTATTTAGGATACTAAAACACTAGTCCTAATAGGGTGGATAGAGATGCCTGTCTGATTTCAATCTGTGCTTCAAATCAATGTGTCTATACTATTTCTGTATTATCTACTAATTTTCAAGCCCAAGATCTAGCTGCTTCAGTTAATGCATATTTTCTGCACTGCCTTTCAACTCATCGAGTGGCTCAGTGGATTAAAAAATGCTGGAGGTGGTCAATACTCCAGTGGTTTAAGTCCTACTACTGTAAGATAAACTGAGCTCCCATCACTTGCCTCAGCTTCTGCAACCTACTGTGTTTCCCCCAAAATAAGACCCAGTCTTATTTTCTTTTGGGCTCTGAAATAAGCACTAGGGCTTATTTTTGGGAATGTCTTATTTTGAGTGCTGCCGCCGCAAGGTGAGTGGGTGGAGCTGCCCCATGCACCCCGCACCCCATTCCATCTGGTTACTCACGGTGCTGCTGACACAAGGTGACGTGAAGCAGGGGGTGGAGCTACCCCACGTACACACCAGCTTACCTCAGGGCCCCCGCAGCCAGGCCAACCATGCTCTGACAACTGCCTTGCCTCGTGGCACCGACCCACTTCTTCTTCTGGCACTGGTGTAGCATCGGAGCAGGAAGCTGAGTGATGTGTTGGTGCTGTGGCTGCAAGGCGAGGCAGTTGTCAGGATGTGGATGGCCTGGCTGTGGGTGCCCCGAGGTAAGCCAGGTGTGTGTGTGTGTGTGTGTGTGGAGCAGCACCTCACCTCATGGCTGCAGCATTGGTGCATCACTCAACCTCCTGTTCCGGTGCTGTGCTGGTGTCAGAAGAAGTGGGCCATCAGCCACATGGGTTCCTGCTGCATATGGCTGCTGGTGTTGCTGCTGTGAGGCAGTTGTTGGGGTGTGGATGGCCTGGCTGTGGGGGCCCTGAGGTAAGCTGGTGTGTACGTGGGGTAGCTCCACCCCCTGCTTCACGTCACCTTGTGTCAGCAGCACCGTGAGTAACCAGATGGAATGGACAGACAGCCGGCTACACAGGTGCTTAAGTAGGGCTTATTTTGGAGATAGGGCTTATATTGGGTACATGCACAGAAAACATTCATAGCGCTTATTTTCTGAATAGGTCTTATTTTCAGGGAAACATGGTAGCAGTTCAAAAGCATGTAAATGTGAGTAGATAAATAGGTACCACTTCTGTGGGAAGGTAATAGTTTTCCATGTTTTGCTGTACACTTCATGCTGTGGTGTGATGTCATGCTGGCCACATGATCCACAGAAATGTCTTTGGACAGTGCTGGCTCAATGGCTTAATGAAATGGAGATGAGCACCACTCCTAAAGTCTGCTATGATCAGCAGAGCAAAACCCGTAGGGATTCCATTACCTTACTTTCAATTCATTGTTAAGGAGTAATTAAAAGCAACAAACAAGATAAGGATAACACTGATCACATCCTGATAAGTATTAACATGGAAGAGTATGTTCTGCACCCCTACAATAAAAAGGACTTCCTGAAAATTATACAAGCCATTAAGGAACTAAAGGCAAAAATTATTAGGTGCCAAGCTGGACAGAGAATACCTGTGATAGCACAATATCTTTGAAAAGGGTTAGAACCTACTGTTACTGTTTTACTTATTTAGGTAAAGTTAGAAATGTTAAAAACTAAAGCATTAGTTAAGCATTAGAATTAAGAATTTGTTATGAATGACGAGAAATATATTGTAAATAAAATGAAGGGGACAAGTAATAAATTGGAATAATATAAAGAGAAATAAGGGGAAATTGTGAATAATAAAGAAAGATCATCACGAAATCGCTGTAAAAAGAATATTCATATATATGTTGTATGTCTTGTATTGTTGTTTTATGTTATAATAAATAATAAATAAAGAAAAAAAAAGAAAAATGTAGAGTTAATAGCTGACTAGTGGGTTTAGGGATTTTTCTTTCTCATTTTTCCTTTCCTCCAACCACTTGTACCATTTATGCCAAATCTTGTAATATTCTGTGTCCTCCTTTTCTTTAAGTTCTTTTATTAATCTGTCCATCTCGGCACATTCCAAGATTTTTTTAATTAACTCTTCATCTGTTGGTATTTTTTTTCCCCAATACCTAAGATAGTACAATATCTTTGAAAAGGGTTAGAACCTACTGTTACTGTTTTACTTATTTACATTTACTATGGCTGCCAACTCCAGAAGATTCTGGGCTGTTTTAAGATTATATATATAAAATTTTACTTAAGCTATATCTTTCAGAAACCCACTAGTCAGCTATTAACTCTAGATTTTTCTTTGTCAGATGCCTGCTACATCCTTTCATTCTCAGTCATCATGTTGAATACCAGCCTCCACAATCCAAATGTCAAAGATAAGCCTCCATTTGAGCGGTTCATGTCCATGAACAGAGGCATCAATAATGGAGCAGATCTTCAAGAAGTGCTTCTGAAGGTAAAGTAAAAAATAAACTAAAAATGTCATCTCTTTTACTGATATAAACACACCTTTGCTAAAAGATTTCTGGTGGTTTTAATGGTTGTGTACACTTCAGAAATGCAGTTATCCCCAGCATACTCATGGAGTGATAGGAGAATTTGCTTAATTGTATCTACAAATAGCATTGTTTGCTAAGAAAAAACAAATTACTGTGAGCATATTAGACATACACTGTCATAAGTCTAAAGAAGATACACTAATTTATTGCCAAGTACCCCAAAGAGCTAGGTTGATTGTCACAGTTTGTAGACCAGGTTGGCAACTTTTAATTACATTAAATCCTAACAAATGAAAGGAGAACGTGAGATGAGACACAAAAGAAAATCATCACATATTCAAGTAAAGAATTCCATCCAGATGATCTTAGTTTTTAAAAAAAACTTTGTCAGATTTGGATGGAACATTAAGAAAGTACAAGGGTGTAGGCTAGATAAGGAATTTAAAAAAAAACTTGGAAAAATCAATGTCAAACCACTTCTGAATTGTTGCTGAGAAGATGACATTGGATGTGTCCATATAATCACTAGGATTTGTAGCTTGCGGTAATATTTGTATCTATTCTACGATCCCTAAACTAGATAGGGATATTCAAATTATTTTGTGGTGCATTGATAGCACAGAATGATGTATATATAATAGATATTCTGATATGTATGGTATATGCAACTATATACAATGTAGGCAACCATACATTGTAAATGTACATATTACCCATTATAATGCATACTTCTGCAGTAGTATTACAGGTAGTCTTCAACTTACAACCACAACTGAGCCCCACATTTTTGTTGCTAAGTGAGACAGTAAATTTTGCCCCATTTCATGTGGCACCTTTCATGCCACAGTTGTTAAGTGAATCACTTAACATGTTGCTGTTAAGTGAATCACTGTTGTTAAGTGGGAGCCCCAGCCCTGTGGAATGAACTGCCCCCGGAAATACATAAGATCTCCGACCTCCGGGTGTTTCGCTGCGCACTGAAGACCCTGTTGTTCTGCCAGGCAGGGCTATCAACATAATAATTTTAAATTGGGGTATTTTAAATTTTTGGGGTTTTAAATCGTCCAAATCTATTTAATTATTTTAATTTTTAATTATTGTTGTGTCCTGTATTTTTAAATTGGCTGTACACCGCCCTGAGTCCTTCGGGAGAAGGGCGGTATAGAAATAAAATTATTATTATTATTATTATTATTAAGTGAATCACTGCACTTGTTAAGTTAGTAGCAATAGCACTTAGACTTATATACCGCTTTACAGCGCTTTACAGCCTTCTCTAAGCGGTTTACGGCGTCAGAATATTGCCCCCAGCAATCTGGGTCCTCATTTTACCCACCTCGGAAGGATGGAAGGCTGAGTCAATCTTGAGGCTGGTGAGATTTGAACTGCCAAATTGCAGGCAGCCGGCAGTCAGCAGAAGTAGCCTGCAGTACTGCACTCTAACCACTGTGCCACCGTGATCAACTATATGAAAAACAAACAGAATCATACTTGATAGCCATAAATGAACATGACCATTTGCATCTATATATAACCTTTCGCTTTTCTATTGAATGTGAGCGAGTGTTGGAATTATACAGTCCTTTTCATTTTATTTCTTCCAGTACTCAGGCTCTTAAACAGGGTTTCATAGCATGTTTGATTTGTACTATAGAGCTACAAGTTTTTTCTGTAAAAGTTTGCAAATCTGTACAAATTCAGTATCGGCTTTCAAAAATTAACTTGAAACACTCCTATGCAACTTTGCGTAGGAATCCGAAATTACTTTGTGAGTAAAAGCGGAGCTTTCTGAGTGAGCGATTTCAGGAAGTTGCAGGAACATTACATAACATATGACATCATATCCCAGTAGCCCAATGTTATTACTTCATTGGATGAGAAATCACTTTTAAAAACCCCGGAAACCTAGCAATAAGTTATATGCACATACGCAGAATTTATGGTTCTTAAAATGGAAATATACTTCCTGAGCATATATGTGTGTGCTTATCTTCATTTTAAAAAATTTTTTCCTGAAAACTGACTGGACAAATTCTTGCAGTTTTCTTGGCAAGATTTCAGAATTGGGTGCCATCCTATGGCTATGAGTGACTGGCCCAAAATCACCAAACTGACTTTGTGTCTTAGACAGGACTAGAACTCACAATCTCCTGATTTGTAGCCTGATACCTTAACCACCCCACCAAACTGACTCTCGAGCATAGAGTGAATTAATTTCTGTAGTGATGAAATGCTCTTTTCTTTCACTTTTCATTCATTTGTTTCAACTTACTCATTAGGACTAAATTGGTGGGGTTTATGTGATTCACAGCATATGCTTTATGATTGTGGTTTCAAATTAGATTGAGAGGAACGGCAGGAAAACATAGTTTCATTACAGGAAGTGATACACACACACACATACGTAAAGAGAGAACCGATAGAATGAAGTGGTTTAGCTAATTTCCTTCATTTTTTTAAAAAAAAGAAAATTGCAGAACATATCTCTATCTCATTTTGATGGATGAAGAAGTTTGTTTAGACTCCACTGTATCAGTGGTAACACTAGATGTCCGGTGATTCAGTCAAAACTGTATGTGTACTCCTAACAACACAACTATATTACGTATGTTTAGAGACTTAGGTTGGTTTGGTCGATATTTGGGATGGCGAACCTATGGCATGCATTTCAGAGGTAACACACAGAGCCCTCTCTGTGGGCACGTGCGCCGTTGCCAGCTGGTCTTCTGGTTTCCAGGGTGCACGTGCGTGCCAGCCAGCTGGTCTTCGTGGGTGCTAGAGCACTGGAAAATGGCCAATAACAGGCCGTTTTTCAGGTCGAAAAACAGCCTAAAAATGGCCAAAAAACAGGCATTCGTGCACCAGCCAGCTGGTTTTCAGGTTTCCAGTACTCCAGCATACACGAAGACCAGCTGGCCGGCACACATGCGCATGTGGGAAATGCAAAGACCAGCTGGCACATGCACCCAGCCAGCTGATCTTTGGGTTTCCGGTGTTCCGGGGTGTCACATGCACACACGTTCCAGTTTTGGCACTTGGTGCCAAAATGGTTTGCCATCACTGGTCTATATGGTTAATCTTAAGAAAGAGCAAATTGCCAGTTAATAAACAGAAAGGACTGTCCATTGAAAGGACTGATTCCAGATCCAGTCAAGGTTCAGAGCAATCAAAAGGAACAGGTGGCCTGGGAAGGGAGACGCTCTACCTGACGCCTATTCAAATCAGGAGGCCTATTACTGCACCAGATAAATAAATACATTGACCTGGTACACCGAATATTAAAGCTCATCACGATTTTCCCTTGCTTTCTCTTCTTCTTTTCCCTGGCAGAATTTATTTGAGAGTATCAAAAACGAACCCTTTTCCATCCCAGAGGACGACGGAAATGATCTCACCCACACTTTCTTCAACCCTAGTCGGGAAGGCTGGCTCCTCAAGCTAGGTAACCTGCTTGTAATTTGCTAATAAGAAGAAAAGAAAACAACCCTTGTTCCTGACTTCTACTCAAATTTAAATCTTTTTGCAAGGAAAAGGGTTGTGTTCATATGGTAGCAGAGGACTGCAGCAGCAGAAATCAGCTAGCCAGCTTTCAGCTATGGGGCGAGAATGACCCCTGGTGTTTGGCTCTGGTATATATTTCTCTAGAGACTCCTGCAAATGGCACAAGGCCATAACAGAGTGGCTGGTTTTTTTGCTCCTCACTTGGCCTGGGTAACTTGACTGGCATCATTTAATGGGCTGGAGGAAAGCCACCTGGAGAGCCAGTTGCTGAGGACACTTTTTCAAAGGATAAATTGAAAGCTATGTGGCTCTGTTGACAGGCGTTCCAGGCGTGCATAATAAACAGAATTTATGAACAGGAGATTTGAACCGGAATTGTCAAGAACCAATAATTTAACCAATAATTTGTACAGCAGCTCACCATTCAAAGAGAGATGATTTAATGAAATGCTCTTTTCTTTCCTTTCTCATCCATATACTTTGTTTCACTAATTCATCAACCTGCTTATTAGGATTAAGCCGGTGAGGCTTATTTCTGATTAACAGTGCACTCGTCTTCCTGGCTGCTCTTTGAAGTCCTCCTCTGTGCTCTTTAAAAGTATAAATCAAAAGCCGTAAAGAAAGGATAAAGTATTTTGGCTCCAATTGAATCAGATCCATAAGCTTCCTGGGGCAAAGTCCCAATTTTACTTAAACATCATCTCTCCCTTCTTCTTTCACCGAGAAGCCAAGCGATACTGTGAAACCTTTGCCATTCCATAGCTTTTTAAAAGAGAAATAAATGTACAGGTAGTCCTAGACCAGGGCTGTCAAAATTGCGGCCTTCAGGCCGGATGCATCATGCGCTGGCCACGCCCATGCCCGGTTTAGCGAAGGGGAAAAAAGTTCCAATATGTCACATGATGACTCTGTGATGCCGTGAGTTTGACACCCCTGTCCTAGACTTACTACCATAAGTCAGAGTTTCTGTTGCTAAACAAACTGTTTGTCAAGAACTGACCTATTTCATGACCTTTTTTTGCCATGGTTAAACAAATCACTTCAGTTGTTAAATGAATCCAGCTTCCCCATTGATTATGTTTGTCGAAAGCTGTCTGTAAATGATGATTATAATGATGATCACATGACCCTGGGATCCTGCATGGGATGCTGCAATTGTTATTAATGCCCAAATTTTGATCACATGACCATGGGGATTCTGCAATGGTTCTAAGTGAGAAGATCGGCCATTTTTTCATTGCCATTGTAACTTCAAGTGATCGCTAAAGGAGTGATTGCAGGCCAATTGCAGACCTACTGTATCTCAAGAAAGCAATTTTGAATGTTCGACTTGTGAAACTTTTCAAGTGCTGGTTCTCTAACACAGTGTCATCTTCAATATCACTGTGGGAACTGGATGACATCTAGGGGAGAAAAAAAGGGGATTTGGGAGATAGGCTTGGAGGGCCTTTGGTGCAGGGGTGAAATCTAAAATTTGTTACTACTGGTTCTGTGGGCGTGGCTTGGTGGGGGGGTGTAATGTGACTGGGTGGGCGTGGCCAATTTTTTTTTTAACTTTTAAAACCATTTTTTCTACAACCTCTTCGGCGAAGAGGCTGTAAAAAAAATGCTTTCAAAAGGCTCTGACGATCCAAGCTGAGTTGCCTGATCGGCAGAGACTTTTTTTCTTTTAAATGCCTCTGCCAATCAAGCAACTCAGCTTGGATCATTAGAGGCATTTAAAAGAAAAAAAGGGTTTTTTTCTTTTAAAAGCCTTTGATGATCCCAGCTGAGCTGCACATTCATCAGAGGCTTTTTTTTTTACTTTTAAAAACATTTTTTCAGCCGAAGAGGTTGTAGAAAAAAAGCTTTTAAAAGTAAAAAAAAAAAAGCATCTGATGATTGTGCGACTCAGCTGGGCATGGGGGATAGGCAGGGATTTTTCCTACCGGTTCTCCGAACCACCCGCCTCCATCGCTACCGGATAGAGCGATCCGGTCCAAACTGGGAGCATTTCACCCCTGCTTTGGTGCCATTTTATCATGTGAATCATCTCCCTGGAGGTAGTATAGGTAGTCTTTGATTTACAACAGTTCTCTTACTGATAGTTTGAAGTTACAGCTCCAAAAAAGTGACTTATGACCATTTTTCATACTTATGACCACAGCAGCATCCCCTTGGTCACATGATTTATATTCGGATGCTTGACAACTGACTCACATTTATGATGGTTGCAGAGTCCCAGGGTCATGTGATCACCTTTTGCAACCTTCTGACGAGCAAATTCAACAGGGAAACTAGATTGACTTAACAACCATGTTACTAATTTAACAACTGCAGTGATTCACTTAACAAATGGGGCAAGAAAAGTTGTGAAATGGGGCAAGACTCACTTAACAAATTTCTCACTTAGCAATATAAATTTTGGGCTCAATTGTGGTTATAAGTTGAGGACTACCTATGTCAAATAATATTTGGCCCTTGAGATGGATATTTTTCCTCTGTTCCTGCCCTAAATCAACACCCTGGTTAAAAAAAAAAACTAGCATAAATAAGCTGAAAAAATTATCTTTACAGCAACAAGAGCTTCAGGTTTAGATGATGGACCTAGAAACAAGTTTTATACGTTGTGCCATGAAATGTAGGCTATTATAGGGTAGAATTCTAATTTCATCTCTTTTAATCAGGAGTAGGCAAACTCCCTTTCCTGGATAGGAAGGCTCTCCGCTTGGTCCCTCATGTCCTGGTCATCTCCTGTCTGGACTATTTCCACCGACTCTATATGGGGCCACCCTTGAAAAGTATCAGAAGCTTCAGCTGGTACAAAATGTGGCTGCAAGAGCTATACTGGATGGCCCTGGAAGAGCACATGTAACACCCAATGCTCCGCAAACTACATTGGGTGCCAGTTGCTTCTAGGTCGAATTCAAAGTGTTGGTTATGACCTGTAAAGCACTACACAACATGGGGCCAGGCTATCTAAGGAACTGGCTTCATCCCATTATTTATTTATTATTATTATTAATCATATTTCTATGCCGCCCACTCTCTGAGAACTCTGGGCAGCTTACAACAATCGACAGTATACTAAATACCATATGCCCCCAACAATCTGGGTCCTCATTTTACCCACCTCGGAAGGATGGAAGGCTGAGTCAACCTTGAGCTGGTGAGATTTGATCTGCTGATCTGCTGAACTAGCAGTCAGCTGAAGTAGCTGCAGTACAGCACTCTAACCACTGTGCCACCTCGGCTCTTACATAGGTTGCAGATTCCATCACTTAAAGAATTCCTACTGGTGGGCTCTAAGAAGAGAACTTTCTCTGCCATTGCTCCCTGTCCTATGGAAAATCCTTCCACACCGGAGGTGAGGGAGACTCCCACTCTCCTGGCTGTCAGGCCTGGAAGCCATCTTTTGTATTGGGCCTTCAGACCTGCCACAGTTACTACTGTATGGAGCATGAGTGATATATAGCCATAATAACATTCTTTTCTCAGAGGTTCAAGGACATCTTGCCCTGCACCTGGGAGGCTAGAACTGAGAGGCATCTTCAGTTGGGACGGTGCTTTGAATTGACCATATGATGGATTTATGGGTTCTGGGCAGGGACTTGAACTTTCCTTTGGGTGGGGAAACCCTGGAAGTTTTCAGATTCAGGTTTCCCCAGATGTGCCAATATGACATCTCTAATAAAATGTGACTTTGAGGAAACTCAAGCTTCGGAGTTTTCTTTCGTTGGGAGTGTAACTTAGAACCCTGACACTGGCCTTCTGAAACAGGGTTAAAATATGGCTCTGCAGCCTTGTTTGGGGAGCTCAAAGGAGCACATAGTTGTGGCATGTATTCAGTGGTGAAATCTAAATTTTTTTACTACCGGTTCTGTGGGTGTGGCTTGGTGGGGGGGAGGTAATGTGACTGGTTGGGCGTGGCCAACTTTTTTTTTTTTTACTTTTAAAAGCATTTTTTCTACAACCTTAAGAGGTTGCAGAAAAAAATGCTTTTAAAAGTCTCTGACGATCAGGCAACTCAGAGGCTTTTAAAGGTATTTTTTTTCCTACAACCTCTTTGGCCGAAGAGGTTGTAGAAAAAATGCTTTTAAAACCCTCTGATGATCCCAGCTGAGCCCTGCGATCATCATTGTTTGTTCGTTAATTCATATTGAGATAGATAGATAGTACCTCACATTTTTATGGATGTGTGATAAGAAGCTTTACCACTATATATCTAAAAAAAACCCCTAATTAGCTCATTTCATTCTCTTTTTGTTCCAGGAGGCAGAGTGAAGACCTGGAAACGCCGCTGGTTCATTCTGACAGATAATTGCCTCTACTATTTTGAATACACCACGGTAAGAGCATCCTCAGGGATGATCTTCGATGTATAAGATTTCTTGGCTAGAAACTAGAGTTTAGGTGAATCAAAAGATTGTCCAAGTTCCACGTTGACTGCTCTGTTGAGCCATAGCTGTATTCAGGAAGAGTAAGGAGGAAAGCCTGACTTTATCCTGCTGATATATCCCAGCAGAAGTCTTCCAGCTTTATGGTCTTTCACATTACTACACCAGTGATGGAATTCAATTTTTTTTACTACCTACCGGTTCTGTGGGCGTGGCATGGCTTGGTGGGCGTGGCTTGGTGGGCATGGCAGGGGAAGGATACTGCAAACTCTCCATTCCCACCCCACTCCAGGGGAAGGATACTACAAAATCCCCATTCCCTCTCCACTCCTGGGGCCAGCAAGAGATAGTATTTGCTGGTTCTCCAAACTACTCAAAATTTCCACTACCAGTTCTCCAGAACCTGTCAGAACCTGCTGAATAGCACCCCTGTACCACACCTCATGTTTGGTTATGCCTGGTTCACAACTTCTGGTTGTAGAGGTAAGCAATCAACATGAGAAAAAATTGATGAAAGGATGCTGAATCCTTCATGACACTGAGATGATGGTTTCAGTGCATGGTGAGGTGAATGAATATCTGTGTTCTGACCCAGCTCCCCAAACACGACACGCCCTCTGAATTTAACTCAAAGATTCCTTTATTAGGAGCGCCAGCAGCCCCGGCAAAAAGTTTCTCTCTCACCACAGGCGAACAAGTCCGTCCAGCCGGAAGATGAATAGTTGTCTGCCACATCTATTCATCTCCACCCCTTGCCTTTTATCCCCAGAGCTAGGGTGGGGCTTCGCTAGCAGTGTTGGCTCTTCTGTCCCAAGGCCCATAGATTTACCCTGCTCTCCTCTTCTCTGCCTTCTGTGCATCCACACATCAGGCACTGGACCCAACTGTTCTTCCTCTTCCTCATCAGCCACCTCCAGACCTGGGGGCTGTTGACTCTCCATCTGAGGGCTGACGGATGGCCCAGGCTCCACCCCCCACACACACTCTTTCTCTTTCTGCCAGCTCCATTCCCTCTTCCCCCTCGGAGCTCTCAGGTTGCCTGATGATGACCTGACTCCCATGCCTCCTCCTCCTTTGATTCAGCTTCTGGAGGGGCCGGTGTCCAACAGGCCACAACAATCTGATTGCATTTGCAGAAGGCTCTGTAGCTCTTCAAAATTATATGGGGGAATGTGTATCACCTGCCGATCACATTCTCATTTACTTTGTCTTTCTGGAATAAATTCTTCCCCTGATTCTTTTCTAAAGCAGAAGTTGTATGACTTGGTTTGTCATTCCTTGGTACACACACACACACACATATACACACACACACACACACACACACGTGTGTGGGTGTAGCATGTGTATATGTGTGTTATGTATGTGTATGACTAGATATACACTTTCTTTTGAGAGCAGGCAATAGAATTTCATTCTTAATGTGTGCTAGTGTGCCCACAGTACAAAATGGCAATAAAGATTAATCTTAATCTTAATTCCAAACTCTTAAAAAATCATTTATTCTGCTTCCCATTCCAGCTATAGGGCTTTTTGTAAGATTACAATTCTTTCTTTTTCTTTTTTTTTTTTTTGCTAAACTGGAATCCCATGCAAGAAAAAGGAATTAAGTCTTCTACCAGACATGTTGAAATGGAGACTTAAGATTTACATTAATTTCACTGATATTATGTGCACAGTGGGACAATTCACTTATGATTTCTGCTGTTTACTAGGACAAAGAGCCTCTAGGGATTATCCCACTGGAAAACCTATCAGTCCGACCAGTAGATGATCCCAAGAAACCAGTAAGTCATTGCTGTTGGGTTTGTAAAACATGCTAGATTGGGCTAAAATAAGTTAATTTCTGCTTCAGTGTATTGCAGGAACAATTTTATTAGATGCAGCCATAGCACCTATTATATTTTTATTGTAATTTTGTGTTTTAACTGCTGTTAATTTTTTATTATGTTTTTATCACAAAAATAAAAATATAATCAGTATAATACAAATATATAAATAGTATGTGAAAACAAGGTCATTATGTTAAATACATGTTTTATTTATTTGGGCATAGCATGATATGGAAATTCAACAAATATATTTTATTATTTCATGTTTACAATTTAGTGTGTTATATGAACCATTTAATTCTCTGAATTGTAAAAATTTACTTGCTTCCGTTTTTGGGTTATGCCCCCTCCCCCACATAAACTTCTTCTTTAGAAGTTAGTCATGACCATGAAATCTATGGAATCCAGTCCCTAAATTCCCTTTGTTCCTGTGTTGTACATTGTTGATTTAGGATTCCAGTATATCATAGATCAGAAATAACATGTTGCACTGCAAAGCATTTCAATCCAGTCTTCATGCTATTTCTCTATTCAAGCCTCCTTAGTCTGGAGGCAAGATTGCCTCTCAAGACATCTCTTTGGGATTGGATTAATACAACAGATGGGACTCATCTGCAAAGTCCTGCATAGATGGAATATTGGAAATTCCAGGGGTTATAATTTCAGAATGGAGGTTAACAAAACTTGAAACTGAAATGGCCATGAATTTCTTAAAGATATCTTTCTCCCATAAGGCCTTTTCTTCTGTAATTTCTTTGCTCGAAACCCCACCAAATATGCAGCTGCCAATATGCAGCTGCCAAAAAAACCAATGCGGTCCTAGACTGCATCAACAGAGGGACAGCTTCAAGATCACGAGAAATGATAGTACTGCTCTGTATTGCACTAGTGAGGCCACACTAGGAATATTGCATCCAGTTTTGATTGCCATAATAGAAAAAAAGACCCTAGACAGAGCAACAAAATGATAAGGAGTTTGGAGGCTAAACTGTACAGTGATCAAAGGAAGTAGATATAACTAGCCTAATGAGGAAAAGGATTAGGGATGACATGATAGAGATCTTTCAGTACTTTAGGGGCAGTCACAAAGAAGAAGTGATTAGTCTTATTCTCCAAAGTACCTGAGGGCAGGGCAAAAAGCAATGGGTGGAAGCTTGTTAAAGAGAAATCCAACCTGGAACTGAGGAGAAATTTCCTGACAGTGAGACCAATTACTCAATGGATCAGCTTGCTTCCTGGAAGTGTGGATGCTACATTGCTGGAGGTTTTCAAAAAAAGTTTGGCTATCCTTTTGTCTGAGATGTAGAAGTTCTCCTGCCTTGGGCAGGGATTTGGACTAGATCCCTTGCAGCCTTATGATGACTCTATGCTTCTGTGTTTCTTCTTTTTGTGGAGCCACCTTTATTCCACCATTTCCTCATCTGGAAGTCCAATTTTATGGCTTTTTTTACAAGTCTACCAAGCATGATAAAAACGAACCTTTTAAAATTAAACCCCTCTGCAACCAGTTCTCTTGAATTCATTTTATATTCTCCACGTTTTTGTTCGAACAGCTCTCAATAGGTTAACAATTTTTCTCTACCTGCTGTTTCTTTCTTATGAAATGTTTCTTGTGCTGAGACCCATAAAGGCATTTTCAGCACCGTCTGTTTTTATATCTATTCCGTATTTTCAATACGGAGCTTCTAAGACAATGTTTTGTGAAATCTACATTAAAATTGTCTTTCAAAAGACGAGATGAAGCCCTTTGTTTCAATGTTTGGACTCCTCAAGGACCTAAGATATACAGACTTCACAGAGGTCAGGATGATCTCATCAGAAAACTCCACTGGAGAAAAACTGGTTACCAGTTCAGAAGCCAGTTTCCTACCTTGCCTACTAGTGTATTTATCAGAATGGAAGGGAGAAGAAATTTTGTCAATTATTCATAATGCCATATGCCATGCTGGAAAATTATTAAAGGAGTAGACCAAGTTAAAACAGCTAAACTGCCTTACAAAGCTGATATCAGATCCATTAACTTCTTGCATATCATTTGGATGGATAATCTTAATGAGACCAAATGGCTGATTCTTGCCAAGGACCAGTTAAGTATGATCAAAAACAAATTCCTGGCCAGTGTTTTCCTTTCATTAAATAGCTGACACTATTCCAAGCTTACACAGGCTTACTCACTGGGAGTTGCTTCAAAAAAAAAATCAGCATAAGATTGGTGGTATAACATGGACCTATTCCCAGTTCACAAGCATTCTGAAGATCTGGGATTCAAGTGAAATCTCAACTATGGCCTTTTCCACGAAATCAGTTTTTCTGTATCCCAAATCTTCAAAATCTAATTAAAAATGGACTCAACATAGGATCCGGGCTGTTCAGATCTATTCAGTATCCAATGAATACAAGCTTATTTATATGTTGATGCCTCGTCCTTCTATCCCTTCACTCTTTGATTTGATTACTTCCTTATTTTCAACAAATCAAAAACCAAGGTTAGAAAACAGGAACAAAACCTAATGTCTATTCATGGACTATAAAATACGCATGTACCATAGTTTGCCGGTCCAGCAGTAATCAATTGATCTATTTAAGATGCTTATTTTCTGCTTTTCCTTGTACGGTCTCAGGTGGCTAATACAAGAATGGTAAAATGCAATTAAAACTGAGGCATGCTGAAATCCATCAAATGACTAATGGAAGAGAAGGAAAGCGCAGGAGGAAAACAGAGAGGGGAAAGTGCTTGAGCAGAGGACTCCTTCATGTAATATCTTCCATGATTTAGCATTTTATTGGAACTGAATCTAATTAGCTCCCAATATCCTCTTATAATGTACATTTTAAAATAAATGTTGGTATTTTATGGTTGGGGGTGGTCTAGGAACTATGCTGCATCATTTGGAGAAATGCAAAATTCTCATTTTGTAAGATAATAATTGCAATAACTAACTGCATTCCATTCTGCATATTAGTCCATAAGTGGCAGACTAGGTGAAACCAGTTGAATACATAAATCCACATGTAATAAATGAAACAAGTGTGCAAAATAGCATCCTCTTCCAGATGTATTGAATTAGCAGCCCTATCATCCCCAGCTATCCAGGTCAAGGTAAATGAAAGTCCTTTAGGATCTTTGTCCTGGGTCATAGAGAGATCCAGGATGTTTCTCACCAAAGCACAAAAGAGATGTGCACATCCAGATCAAATATTGGAGAGAGTAGTATTGTTGATTCTAACTATTTTCCACCTAGAGGTCCAGGATGCTTCTCACCTACAGCACAAAAGAGATGTATCCATATCAGATATTGGAGAGAGTAGCATTGTTGATTCTCACTGCTTTCTACCTTTTTCCTCTCAGAATTGCTTTGAGCTCTTCAATGCAAACTGCAAAGGGCAGAAGATCAAAGCTTGCAAGACTGATGGGGATGGAAGGGTGGTTGAAGGCAAGCACCAATCCTATAAGATCTCTGCAGCCTCCCAGGAGGACCGTGACCTGTGGATTGAAGCCATACAGTAAGGAGGAAAGGCTGTCATTCTTTGGTGGGATAACAATGATGTGGAAAAGAAGGCCCCAGAAGGAGAGAGTTCAGTAATAAGGAATATCACAATATTTTAGTATGGGCTTAACAGAGGCACATATCATCATTTCATGAAACGGCTCTTCTGTGAGATATTGCATTTGAAATTTTGCATTATTCTCTCTGGTGTTTTTGACTTCCTATGCAATCATCAAGTATGAAACATGCATGCATTAATCACTTGACCGCATTTACTTTTGAGGTCTCCTCCCCACAAATTATGACACAAGAGGGATACTTTTGGTGATGAAATTTGCCAAGGAGTGAGAAGAGATAGGGTCACTTCATCCTATAAATCAAAGAAAAGAGAGTTCTGACAAACATTTCAAAAATTGATAAAAAATATCCACTTAACTACCAAAAACTGGGAGGGAATAATGTTTTATATTCCTTTCAGCAGTACTCTCTTTCTTATTTCCTACTTTCATTGCCATGATCATTTTAAGTATGAGAAGAACTCTCTAAACCAGGGGTGAAATGCTACCAGTTCATACTGATTTGGGAGAACCGGTAGCAGCGGTGGTGGGTGGTTCAGTGAACTGGTAGCGGTGGTAGCGCGAGGCTCCGTCCACCCACCCGGACGTCATTACTTCCTGGTTTTAACCAGGAAGTAAACTGTTTTTGACCCTCTGCACATGCGCAGAGGTTCTAAAATTGCATGTGATGCTCATGCACACTTCTGAACCAGTAGGCAAGGTAAGTAGATTTCACCCCTGTTCTAACCCAGTATCCAACTTTTTAGGGTAACCACTGAGGTTCCCTAGAAAGAATATGGAGGCCATTGTCAAGCCCTCCTGCCTGTATAATTTCAATGACACATGACCTCTAAACATGGAAGATGTTGGAAGTACATAGAAGCATGGAAATACATAGCTATCACATTGCTTTTCCCAGCTTCAGGCTTAAAGATTTCGCTGTGTTCTGTGAAGGAGGCAATCAGTGCTTTGCTAACAGCCAAATCTTAATATTTTTTCTATTTTTCTTTATTTTAGAACCAGCATCACTAGAGATCCCTTCTATGACTTGGTTGCTGCTCGTAAGAAAAAAGTTACCAGCAAAAAATGAACCTTCTGGCTTGTACCACCTTGTTTGGTGGATGATTAACACCAAGAAAATATTTATTTGAAGTCTGTAATGGCAAAATTCCTCAACCATCTCTGAGACAGACAAGAGAATGAAAGGATGATCAGCGGCCTGCTTCCATTTTCTAGAGTCAGCGTATGCAGAATCAGAAACTGGTACAGGAATTCTTTCTGCACAGAAAACAAGCACAGATTTCTGAGTAAATGGAGCAGGATATAGTTGTGTGCATGTGCCTAGGTATGGATGATGGAAACCAGGGAATGGTTTCAACAATATTTTAATACCTGTAAGACTAGATTTTTCTACATTGACACCTGCCTACTCTGACTCACTGTCTTGAGGTTTCTTGAATAATGATGCTATCTGAGATAAATTTACTTGGAATAATAGGATGAAGGACAAAGTGAACTAATAGACTCAAGAGATGCTGGCCAGAATAAACACATATTACTGTGTGGCTGAGCTTGGCAAATGGCTGGTTTGGAGCTGGGAATTATTGCCAAGTTGATGGTAATCCTGAATGTTAGTTTTTTTTTAGGACAGAATCTTCCAGCCAAAGTCAGGCTCTAAACAATAATCAATGCAATGAGTTGTTAGTTCCTATGTTCTTTGAGTTGGCTGGTGTCTGCTCATCAGTGTTGGAACAGTTGAAAAGTGTGTTTACAGATGGATAATTGTTTACTTCTCTTCTCTTCTGAAACATTCATTAGCCTAGAGGATCAAAAGCTAGTTTTGTTTTTGTTTTTTTGCTTTGGAAGACTTACATTCAAATTCCATCTTGACCATAGTGATCGTGGGAAAATTGTTTCCTTCTCGTCTGAATTTTTCATCTATACAATGAGTTCTGTAAAATAATAACATTTGTTTAACGTGGTTATGAAGAACTGGATTGTTGTAAGAATGATGCCTGCATGCTAATGAGTAGTACGATATTTTTGTTTAAGGAGATGTAAAGAGTTGCTTGTTATTAAAATACACTCCCATATGCACACTTAGCCAGAATTCGGGTGTGTTGTTTTCCACACTGATACAAACAGATGGAGAAATAACTGTTTTTCTTTTCAAATGAAAAAAATGAAAAACATCTTGAGGTCTTTTACACTTGTGGTTTTGTTTTTATTTTATCAACATAAAACAGAAGCAGGAGGTATGTTATGTGTCTCTATTGCTTTTCTTTTTTCTTATGAATCCCACTATACAATTTGGAAAAATACCAAAGATTTGTTAGATATGAAAAGTCTTAAATTCACCAAATGGCAACCCTATTCAAAGAAAGAAAATTCAGTCAAAGTAAGAAAGTCCAGCTTGGATGGCCCAACAAATAGCTTGATATAAAATAGCTTATAATATTAACATTGACAGGTTTGGAAGCTGATGGCATTCAAAGATATAGAAGATGTACTCTTATTCAGAATAAGGAATATACATGGCAAAAAAAGATCCAATTTTGAGTCTTATCCGGCACTCCTAAAGTATATCATCTGAACTAATTCACTGGAAAGATCCAATCTGACTTTAATCCATGATTTTAAGTGGATCCTGAGAGAAGAGAGCTCTTCTTGCATAGAGATTGTATAGTATGTATAGTTCTAGTACATGGAAGAAACATGTGCTCATTTGTTTTAATTGTTACAGAATAAAATGAGATTTGCAGGAAAGCTATACATGTAATGGATGAATTAAATAAGATCACTATCAAAATAATTCATATAGGGGGATTGAATTAATATCCTTTAAATTTGATTTCTTTATTTAGAAAAGTGCCTACAATTCTGTCATTTTAGGAATGGAATAATTCCTAAATTATTCAGAGTAAGTGGTTACTCTGGTGGGAAACATCCAAAATTCTCAGATTAGGTTGAGAGATATTTTGCAAAAAGGAGAGTGTTCTGAGGAACCCAAAAGTGCTTTTTCAAAGGACAACTGGACTTTCTTTTTCCTTGAAGATGTTTTGGTTCTCATGCAAGAAGTTTCTTCAGAACTGAAAAAGCTTCTTGGATGAGAAGCGAACTATCTTCAAGGAAAAACAAAGCCCAGTTGCCTTTTGAAAAAACACTTTTGAGACAACCATGACCTGGATGACTGAGAAACTCCATAGACATAGCACTTTGAAGAATGGTGATGCCCTCCCTGAATGTAGTAGAGCTGATTTGTGGGGATTAAGGTAAAAATATAAGACATGAACCCATCATGGGTTAGTTCATGCATAGCTGAAAGGACCAAACAGCAATGAGGGGACAAACAATGAATGCCAGCTGCTGGCCTGTGAGTGAAATGTTTATCTGAATTTGAATATTTTGGAGAATGAATATGTAAAGCATTGTATGATTCAGAAACATTGGATGTAGTGTAATACTGGAACAATGGGAGAATATGTGGATGAAAGGCCTAAAATTTACACTAAATTACAATTTAAAAGAAAAAAATTATAAGATGATGTATCTTTGGTATTTAACACCAGATAAATTGTCAAGAATGTATAAAGGTATTTCAAATGAATGGAAATGTAAAGGTAAAGAAGAGGACTGTTATCCTTTATGGTGGGTATGTGATAAAGCAAAGAAATATTGGAGTAGGATTCACATCTTAATACAGAAGATTCTCAAAGTGAATATAAAGATAAAACCAGAAACTTTTATTCTGGGTTTAATGGAAAAAGACTTGGGGGAAAAAATGGAACTTTGATGTTATGTTGACGGCAGCAATATTACTTTATGCACAAAAATGGAAGGACACTTTGATGCCTACAATGGAAGAATGGTTGCAAAAGCTGATGGACTTAGCAGAGACAGCCAAATTGACTGCTTTGATTAAAGAAAAAAATACAATTACTTTTGTTTCTACTTGGAAACCACTTCTCAACTTTGTGCTTGAGGTGGGAAAAAATGAAACTTTGATTTTGGGTTTTACCAATTAATAGGTTTATTGTTATAGAAATGACTTGTTTATAATATTATTATGTAAAAGTTGAAGCTTGACATTACTATCTTATTTTACTGCACCAAAGGGAGTTGGAAGTCAATGCTTTCTTTCTTTTTTCCCCTTGCCCTACAGTTTTCCCTTCCATTTTCCCTCCCCTATTTTCCTACTATTTTCTTTTATATTTTTGTATGATATATTATAAACTAATAAAAATGAAAAGCATAAACATTTTTTAAAAAATAATATTTTATACCTACCTAGTTTAGAAACCTTTCACAATTTGTTTTTTAAGATCAGGGATGAGAGGAATGCTAGCATGTCTAGTGTGATCCTTTGGCTCACACTCAGAAATTAGTGTGATCCTAATTTCTCATGTTAAAATTGGAGATACATGAACTGATTTCCCCAGATTATTGGGAATATGTATAATAGAAAGACTGTGACTTTAACAAGCAACTCCAAACAAATTATAGATAACGTTGAATATAATCAAGGTTTGATGCTGGTAGCAATTCCACAGCTATGCAGGAAGAAGTGTATAAAGTGTACTTTTTTGGAATAATATCAGTAGTAGTAGCACTGAGCTATTATAATTCTGAAATACAGTCTGAAAATGTGTGAATACCAGAGTAGAAATAAAGATTTATTGATGCCAATCTATGCAGAATCACTTTCTGTTCTAGCACCCTCTGTTTTAGCTAATATATAATCTATTCTAGTTTCTATTGTTATATTTACTTGTTACTTGAATTATTTATGCATTATTATTCTTATGAATTAATTAGATTACTTTGTCTTTTTAATTGCAGTAATTACCTTGTCCTGTAAGTACTATACTATACTGTACTATAAATTAGTATTTAAACAAACATTTAGTGCAAAATTCAGGCTGTGGTGACCTCTGCATTTCTTTGCTGTTCTTTAAGCTGGGCAAGACAGAACAATCCAAAAGAGGAATTGTGGGTGCTATGCTATTTGCATAATGTATAGATGGTAGCTAAATTTAGAAGGTGGATTACTTATGTGCATGGTGATTGTAATAATGAATTACAGCTAGGAAATGAGCAACTCCTTTTTTCTTGAGTATGAAAGAGCAGTGACTATTCCACGTCTTGCTTTTCCTTTCTGCAGATAATCTTGCCTCTTTTATCTCCAGTTGTGGTTCTTCTTTCTCTCTTTTCTTCCTGAAGAGGGCTCTGTGCACAAGGAAATTCAGACACCAAGTTCTTTTTTCTTCTTTGGCACTGCAACAGAGCAGGTGAATTAATTCCAGCAGGCACAGCGAATAGATATTAGAGTCAAATCACGTGCAAGCACAGGAGATGAATGTGAAGGTTTTCCTTGAATGAGGCACCTGTGTTGTTCTTCCTTTTTGCTAATGGTGACAATCCTCAAGGAGTTTGCTTATTTATTTATTTATTTAGTTGACTAGCATGTATCATACATCTCCCCGTGGAATGAGGATGAAGAAATATCTATGGGGGAAAAAGGCAACTTTGAACAGAAAATGGAAATAAATTACCAAATATTCTGAAAAGATTATACATGCCAGGAGCTTTCTAACCAATTTAGCTCACAACAGAAACTCCAAGAAAGGCTTGGCCTGTACCACCTGTTCAAATACTTGAGGATGTGCAAAGAGAATAAATGTTCAGGTAGTACAAAATAATTCCAGCTGGATTTCTTCCCAGATCTCCTAGATAGGCTACTTTGGAGCTTCTTCCAGATGAGATGAAATCTATTTCTAGTCATTCCTTCCACAATGTTTCCTCAGTAAAATGAATAAATCCCTTCAACATGACAATATATTATTTTTAAGCCTTTAAGAACATCATGTCAGGCAAAAATTCAGTCATGTGAAGTTCTTGGTGTATTTTGAATTTGCTTGTTTGCTTGCAGACACATTTCATTACCCAACTAGGTAACAACATTAGTGTAACTGAATATGAGGTGTGCTGCAATGCACTATATATAAGCAGGCAGTAAACTTACACACCCATTGATGATGTTACTAGTCCAGGAGTAAAACATTTGCAAGCAAACAATCAAGCTCAGAGAGCACCAAGAACCTCACATTTCAGCCTTGAGTCATTTCAATTCAATTTCTCAATTTTCTGTCTCCACAAAATATTTCACCTGCAGTTCAGCCAGCTCTTGATATTTTGTTTTTAGGAAACTAGGAACAAAATAAGCCCTCTTCCCTTCAAATCAATGTGCAGGATTGCATATAATTTTAGTACCCAAGTGGAAAATCCTACCAGTGTTTTATCATAACAAATTAAATGTTCTGTTACTCTCTTGTGTTATCACAGCACACACCCCTCCCAACTTGGCCCTACCCAATAATATGGCTGACCTGGGCCTCTTTGTATAAATTTTCAAAATATGCTTGAGCTATACTTTCTCTTTGAAAATGGCTAACTTGGTAATGTGGCATTTACAGAAGTCATAATGCCCACAACTCTACCTGGATCTCCAAAATTAAATATTTTAAAAAGGAATCAAATGATCCAAATCTGAAGGATTACTGCAACAATGGGCAAAGTTTTTGTTATCACATGAAAGTTTATGAGATTTTTACCCGTATTTAAAATTTAGAACCAGTTTGTGCTCATCACCTTGAGGGAAATAGCAGTGCCTGTGTCCTGAAAAGTTTGCTATTGCCTGAGAAGTGACCAGCTTTATCTTTAATTTGATCTTGAACATAGTGCAAACTAGGTAGCTTCTTTTTAAAATTTATTTTTATGAATGGGTAAGAGTTACTGCTGCTGAAGAAGGAAAGAAAGAAAGGTCGCTTTAAAAGGTAGAGAATTTCCCCTCACAGACATTGCTTATATTTTCTCCTGTACTGAATATAAAATTGATATAATTTCATATTTCCTACTACCTTAAAGGTTCAGAAAGGGTCATTTATATCTGCAGAAAATCCCTACACGTTGTTAGGGATTCACCCAGCTGCAGAGCTATATATAAAATAGCTTAAAATGTATCTAACATTTTAAACTATCTCTGGTAACTTAGCTTCATTAAGCAAGCAATATAGATTGTATCTAGGTTGGTGATTTACTGCTCTCCACCTTCTCACTGGTAATGGGAAGAAAGTGAGAGATTGTATTGCTATGCTGCTTGATATGTATAAAAGCAGAGGGAAAATTTAAATTAAAAGAGGAAGAAGTAAGTCAGAGTATTATTTCTTTTAGCCATTTTAGAGGCAATCGTCTGAGCTGGGAATAGATCTCAAGAGATTAATCTGAAAATAAAAGGTTTGAGGTTTTAAAAGTCTCCCCCCCCTTTTTTTTTAAGCACAGGATCTCTTTTCTCATAACCTCACAGATCTAAGGCTGATCTTCCAAATGCTGATGGTCTAGACCAGTGATGGCTAACCTTTTTGCCATCACATGCCAAAAGTGGGGGGGAGTGTGGGGTGGTCGCACACATGCGTGCCCACACCCATAATTCTATGTGCCCTGCACCCCATGCATGTGCACGTGGCTCCCGTGCGCCCCCCCGCTTTTGGCATGTGTTGGCATAGTGGAGCCGGTAGACCTGTTTTTTGCCCTCCCCAGGCCCCAGAGGCTTTCTAGGAGCCTGGGGAGGGTGAAAACAGCATTCCCCCCGAGACCCTCCAGAGGCCAGAAACACCCCTTTTGCCGACTTCCAGGGGGCCCAGAAGGCCCGAAAATCAGTTGGCCAGAGTGCACATGCGTGCTGGAGCTGAGCTAGGGCAACGCTTGCATGCCCACCAATAGGGCTCCACGTGCTACTGTGGCATGAATGCCATAGGTTCACCATCACGGGTCTAGACATTCCTGGAAGTTGGTCAGGTTGGCTGTGGCTACTGGGAATTGAAGATTATGCAGTATTTCTGGGAGAATGAAAGATGGAGGATATAATCCAATTTATCTAAGGCAAAGATATACAGCCTTCTTTTCTTTTTTTGTAGAGCTATTTTCGTACAGAAGTAATCTGCTAGAGGTGGCACCGGTGGGCAGAGCAAGAGACAAAAAGTGGATGTAGACAGAGACATCAAGCGCACACACACACACACTTGTTTTTCTTCCGCTGCAAAGAAAAGGATAAATTGCTTTTGGAAAAGATCTGATCTGACTTGATTACTTACAAAGGGCTTTTGAAATCAGGCCGAAGGCCCCAGGATTCTAAAGCTGTAGATTGCCACTTTTGATTAGAGGCATCACAGTGCTTTGCATATAGAATAAATCAGGTTCCAACCACAGTATTGCTCTGCCCTCCCCTGCAAACATTACGTGGTAGGAAAGTTCTTTTCCTGAATCCTGTTTACAAAAGCTTGCATTCTCTTGCATTAGGCAGCTTCCTAAATTCATATCCTTATTTCTTATGCTCCAGGGTTCTATCCAGGCTCCTTTCCAAATACCGAGAATATAGATTCTGGAGCAAAGCCCTGATGAGATTTGGGTTAAAATGAAGTCCTAGACAAGCACTGAATCTTAATGTTTAAAATAAAATTTAAACGGCGTTGTTTGAAATGTATGGTGGGGTGGAGAGGTAGACAATGCTGGGCTAAGTTTCTTGTGGTAGGCTGTGGCAGGATTCTGAGTCTCAAGTTTCCCAAAATGCCTTGAAATAATAGTGGGCATTCTGGAAAATTAAAATGAGGACAATTTCTGATGCATTTGATTGGAACATTTTTCTTCATAGACAGGAGCTCAGGCTGGACCAGAATATGGACCAGCTTAGATTCATATTTCACTTTGTTCACCCTTTGACTCAAGATGTAATCTGTGTTGACCCTTCATCATTAATTCAACCAAAAATTTGCCTCACTACCCATGGACACTTTCCTATCTGGGTGTGCAATGCCCTGTCGGATAGTAAATTTGATAGATTGCTGGCTGGCTAACATGCTTCTTTCCGTGCTTGGGAGCACAAGGATGTCTGAAGACAGAAAACGAAGCTTGACACTTTGGGCCTTTTTCCTATCAAGGACTTTGGAGTGCAGCTGGTAATTTATTTTCATAATAAATGCCTATATATCTTCATAAAAGGCCAGGAAGCAATGGGCATAAAACAGAGGAATATGGCATTGTCCCTCCCTTTCCACCTCGGTTTATCAGTTTCTCTTTTGAAAGATGATACACTTTTTAAAAGGCTTCAAGAAATCATTTGCCAGTGAGGGAGACTGAAACTGGAAAAACAGCCAGGAATTATTTTCAGCAGACTTCAGAAAAGATGCGGAGAGCATGCTAGCAGGAAATGCAAAGGTGGAGGGGTGGGTGGGTTGAGGAGCAAGTCAGCAAGAACAAGTCAGAAGCTTTGAGATACTGCATCTGGATTCTTGTTCTAATTCCAAGCAAGGTTTTATAGTAAAACAAATCAAACTTTAGGATTGCAATAAGCCAAATTTTGACCTAAATATGATCTTTGGAAGGAATGAAGATAGACAGAAGCTCCCTGGCTGGAGTAGGTAAGCCTCAGAAAATGCTGATGTTTGTGAATAGTTTCACACTACTCCATTTTGAGTTCCCGATTCTTTATAGTTATTGTGTTAATTTTCACTTCTGGAACTGTCAAAATTCTGAAGTCATGAGGGAACTGTCTGAACTGGAAATGAAACATGGAGACTACATACCTCAGTTATAGGACCAAAGAAGATCTTCTCACGTCTATTCTACATGAA